GCTGCACCCAAGCAAATGCCACACATTCGTGTCATTATAAACTCATGATTAATAACCGCTCTGGGCTCTTGATAGTGCTCAGCAGCTCTGTTACATGTACTTGTTCAAGTTGGTCTACCATTTGATCACCCCTCCATTCAGGTGGGCAAAACAGAACATTGAGTTATCCATGACCCTTCCCTCTCCCCCACCTTTCATTTCTAATGCATAACCAAATCTTAGGATTTCATCTCCTAGAAGACTTCCAAGTTAGCCTCCTGATTGCTCACCTAGATTACTGCAACACGCTGGTCTCACCTTCTCTAAACCATTCTCCACTGTAATCAGAGTAATTGTTTCAAAATGCAAATCTATCATTGTCAGGAAAATTGAAAGAGAAAGGGTTAATTTAAGAAGGAAGGTATCAAATGCAAATGTGAGCAAGTTATACCTTACCTTTGTTTAAAGTCCTTTTTTTTTGTTTTTGCCACTTAGGAACAAAGCAAAAGTCTGATCTGACCTGGTCCAGAAAGCCCTGCAGTCTACCTTTCTGTCAGTTTCATCTCTTGTCAGAGGCCCTCTCAGTCCAACTACACTGTTCTTTCAATTCCTGGAAGCAGCCTACTTGCTCCTGCCATGGGGCCTTTATACAGGCTCCTTCCTTTCATTGGAACATTCCTTCCCTTAGCTCCTTCCCATCTCTGAGATCTCAGTGAAAGTGTCTGTCTCTCAGAAGTCTCCCCGATTCTCAGTCTTTTGTCTACCTCTTTTTTGGAATAGTGTTCCTTTCCTTCAGAGAGTACTTAATTTATAAATTATATATTTGATAGTGTGATTATATGAGCAGTGTCTGTCTACTCCACTGGACTCTGAGCTCCATTATCTGCATGTGCCCACTCTTATTGTATCTCTGCCACCTAGCACTGTACCTGGCACAGAGTGAAAATTTGTTGAATGAATAAACTCTCCATAGTGCTCACTTTCTTTCATCCTTCTGTTCTTTTGGGAGAGTTGTTCCACCTGCCATCTACGGCAAAACTTCTCCTGCACTCTCACCTATAGGATGGAGAGCCTGTCCCCTCTCGCCTTCTCGGGGCGCTCTTTCTGCTGTGCTTCACCGTGTCCCTCCAGCTACTGAGTCCTCTCCCCGCTGTGCCAGACTTCTCATCATCTCCATTTCCTCCCTCCTGGGCACTCCCGAACTCGCTCCAGCCTCCCTTCACCTCCCACTACTTCATTTAAACCCGTGTTTACATATTACCAAAGCTACCTGCCAATGAACTCATGTAATTACAGCCAATAGACATGTTTTCATGTCTGTTTTGCTTGACCTGTCAGCAACATTTGACTACTGATGATATCTTCCTTCTTAAATTAATGCTTTCTCTGAGCTTTTCTGGTGAGACACTTGGTTTCCCTCGAATCTTTCTGACCAGTCCTTTTCTGGCTCCTTTTCATTCCCTGCCCCTTGTTGATAGTCTCAAAACTCCAAGACAGCCCTCTTCTCTATGATTTCTTCAGGCTACCTCATTCATACCTATGGCTTCAGCTTCCATCTAAATTTTTATAATTCCTTAGTTGATACTTCCACCCCAAATTTCTCTACTAACTTTACATATAATATAATTTTATGTAATAAATATATTATACATGTATAATATATATACCCACTGCTCCCCCAGAGTTCCCTACCTCAGCTCATACACAGTCGAGAAACTGAAGGGTCATCTTTGACTCCCCTCTCTTTGCCACTATCAGAACCAATATATCTGAAAGTCCTTTCACTTCTCACAAATTTTAGCTTATGTCTACTTCTGTATGTTCCTCTTCATTGCTAGAATCCTAATCAAAACCATACTATTCTGGCCTGGACCATTGAAACAGTCTCCTAACCAGGTCTTGTTCCCCTTTATTTACTACACTGTAGCAAGAGCGATCTTTAAGAAACAGCCCAATCCTGGCACTCTCATGTTTAAAAAATTTCGACTTATCCTCTCCTTGTCCTTAAGGACACAGTATATTCTAGATAAATGTCTTACGGTGTACAGGACCTTGCACAGCCTGGTCCCTGCTGCCCTCTCGAGCCTAGTCTTTTAGCACTGAGCCCTCATCCTGTGTTCCTCACCCCGGCCCCTCGCTGTCTGTTCTACTGTCACCTGTACTTTTATCAGAGTTAAGATGACAGCTCCATTCGGTCAGTTGCTTAGGCCAAAGTCTTTGAAGCTATCTTTGACTTCTCCACCTTTCACACCTCATATGAGATCTGTCAACAAATCATGTTGGTTCTGTTTACAAAATATGAGCATTCAACCACTTGTCACCACTCCACAGCTGCCACCCTAGTTTAAACCACCCTCTTCTCTTGCCTGGATTTTTGCAGTAGCCTCTCCCTGTTTCCTTTCTTGCTCTCCTGTAATTTATCCTCACAGAGTAGCCAATGCATCCATGTCTCTCCTCTTTTCAGAATCCTCCATACCTTCCCTTTTCATTCAGAGTAAAAGCCCAAGTCCTTGCCGTGACCTACACGACCCTGCGCAATCTGGACGTGTTGCCTGGCTGACTGGACCCCCTTTTCCTTTCCCCTCTCACTCTGCTCCAGCCACTTCCCAGCTTCTGTGCCTGTGGCCTGCCTTACGGTTCCATGCATTATCGTAACTTGCAGTGAGTTATAGATAAAGCTTTAGTGATGTGCTACTCAGTAGAAAAATGTGAAAGGTTTTTTTTTAGAGGTGATGCAGTGAAATAGCATCTTCTACTCTGCCAGGTGGAAGGAAAGAGAGATGGGCATTTCCAGGAAGTGAGCAAAGGCAGAGAGAGAGGAGCCTGGTGTGTTCAGGAGACTGAGGAAACCTCTTGAGCATAAGGTTGCAGATAAATCAGGGAAACGGGTTAGATCACTTAGGCCTTGAAAGCTAGGCAGAGAAGTTAAAGTTTAAGACAATGACTGATTAGGAAGCAGGGCTGAGAAGTGACTTGATTTTTTAAAAAAGTCTTAATAATACTGGTTTCTGGTGAGTAGAGGACAGGAATGCTGCTAAACATCCCACAGTGCACAGAACAACAGAGTTTTCCGGCGTGGCAGTGGGAATGGAGAGATAAGATTGTTTCACAGGGAACATAATTTGTTGACTTGGTGAATCACTGCACATGTAAAAGGCGAAGAAGGCGGGTAAAATGGAATGTCACCCTCAGCCTGAGCAGCTGATAAAAGTTGCGGTGGAAACTAATCGGGGCAGGAAAAGTATGTTGAGTTTGAATTCAAGTCATGGCCTCAGAACCTATTGACTATGTCTTGTCACATTTTTCTACTACTGTGGGCAGAAGTCATCTTACTACACATAATAAAAATTTTAAATTGCCCTAATTGAACCTTTGGCCCTGACCACTCTTTAGGTTCATTTTAATGTTAACATGCACACCTTGTGGTTATGTAGAGGCTTTGTTTTCAATGTGTGCTTATTTCAGTGTACTCTTTCCACATTTAAAAGTTTCTGTATTTATAATTTGAAAGTGGAGATATTTGTGGATGGAGAGCTATGCAGATAGTCTGCATGTGATGGTTTATAGAAAGATGACCAACTACATCTTAGCCTTAGGGCTCCAGTACATTTCTTCCAAAGTGCCCCCTGTTGTTAGGTCCTTCCAGTTAGGTAGTTTCTTTGCGAGCTGCCCACCACAGAATGATTCTCAGACACCCTGTGAAAGCCTGGTGTACTTTGCTTCTCCTGAATTTCCTTTGCTGTCATTTTTATGCATCTCAATTTAGGACTAAACCACATATCATGGTTTATGTTTTACTGCTTTGGTTAAGTACAAAGCTGTATCTTCTCGATGGGTGTGGGAAGCATTTGATGTTCCTTTAGTGCAGAATAAAAACAGTTCATGACCTTGCTCACTCCGCAGTGCCTGGAAGTTTACAGCACAACAGGTTTACATTTTGGACACTATGTAATCAGCAATTTTCGAAAATGTAATATAAGCTTTTAAATTCTGTTTCCTTCTATTTTCCCTATAAAACAACATCCTCCGGGCTTTATGGGATGTATCTTTTCCTCAGGCAATTGAAATTAAGACTATCCAGTAATTGTCACCTACCACTCCTTTCAATAAGATAATTTTTTTTTTCTTGAGAATAACTGTATATTGTAAAACTAAGGAAGGTGGAGTTTTCTTCTTGACCCTATCTAAGTTGTGATTGATCTGTTTGTAGAGCAGTCCCTTTGAAAGGATGAAACGTGGACTTGGTCTTGAGAATCGGGAAAGTATGATTAGTAGGTATGCTGGAACCTTTTCTTCTTCATTTGCAGGAGTGGGAGAATGGAAGTAGTGAGGGAGACTTAGTCCCTAAAAGAACTCATTATCTTTATAAGGATCCACAGATCTCATGCCTTTGTTGCTTCCGTGAGTCAGATTAAAACGGAAAGTCTTAGGAGAGCTCCATGACATCAGTACACTGCCTTGGAGACGTACATCCAAATTGCCACCCCTGTGAATATGAATGAATGGTTTATGAATTTTCGCTCATATTGGTGCTGTTGATTTGACTGGCCACCTCAAATGAAACAAATTGTATATATTGCTTTCACATCTGATTTTTTTTCTTAATCTTCCTTTCCCGTTTAGTAGAAGTTGAGATGTCGGGACCAAGGTATTAGAGGAAAATTTTTCTAGGATCTTAATCCTAGGCTGGTAAGGTTATGATATGTAAATATGAAACACAGTCGCCTCAGCTCCTTGGGGTTAGTGGGCCACTTTCTAATATCTTAATCCCTTGTTGCATAACCTATGTAGTTTTTTTCTTTGAAACAAAGCAGCCATTGTTCTGATTTAACTAATGTAATGAAGATACTGAGATAATAGGTTCCAGTGACTGTAACTAAGTGATTAAGCCCAAGTCTTCAGATGTTTATGCGTCTTCAGATGTTTATGCTGTATCCAAGAAACTTCCACCTTTGTCAACAACTTTGAGGTGGTTTTACTCAAGTTTTTTAAAACTTCTGATCCTACTTTACCTTTTTTAGGTTTCCATTATACCCAAAAGGAGGGGAGAAGTTGCAATTTGATTACGGTGTCTATCTTCTGAACAAAAATATAGCACAGGTAAGTAACTCTTCACTCCTTTCCTACTTCCCACGGGCATCCTGCTTTCTTATTAAAATAAGTACAAGAGTTGACTGTTGCATTGAACCAGTTACAATGTTAATGCAAAGTTGCTTCTTGGCCACAGTCTTATTCTGTGCTGTTATAAATACTACAGAGAAGCAATGGGGGTACAAATTGGAACCCCCCTGCTAAACTCAGAAGCCCATTGCTGGCTTGTTACTGCTAGTAGACTGAACTTGAATGTGGGCTTTACAGCCTCTCGCCTCTGCAGCTTGACCACTAATAGCTTTCTTCTCACACAGCTTTCTTCTCCTAGACCACATCTAAGAACTCATTTTGCACTGAGATTTGTTTATGGAGTAAAAGTTTAGTGGCTTTGGCAAGTCCTTAATGATCTCCTCACCTCATTATCCAGGGCCAAAAAGAAAAGACCAAGCACATGGTCCTTCCAACCCATCCTGGATTTTTGTGGTTCTCTTAACATCACACCACTTAATATCTCATTTAAATAATGTCTTTCCACATGCCGTAGAAAGACTGACAGATGCTTGCTTGGGCTTGCATTTTCCTGAAAGAACTGTGGTATTTCCCTAGCATACCTGGCTCTACTTCAAGATGTAGACATTCCATAAATTTCCTAGTTGTACAGGAAGGTCAGCTTCAGTGCTTTGTTTTTATTTGGACATCCTTTCAATTAGAAGAGTAAATGGATGAGTATCCAGGGTTTGGCTGTTATTTAAAGACATTATAACCGTATCCTCAGACCTCTCTGTTTTATAGAAACAATAAGGTTTGTGATTCTTTCGTTTATATGAGCCCAAATTGCCTTTTATCTATATGCATCTAAAGATTCACTAAAAATGATTCTCATATTCATTCTGGTAGACCTAAAATTGTTCCTTCATATGGGTGTCATCTTTGCCTTTCTTTGCCTCGTCCAACTTCAGTTTAAAGTTTTATTTTTTACTTTGGTTTTTACTAAGGTTCTTATCCTTTTCTGCCATTAGATCAGATTTCTAGTTTGCAGTCCTCAATTAATCACCGTTTTACAACCCCACACTCACTGCCCTCTCAGTCATACTGCTCTTATTGTTCCTACCGCTCCAGCCTGTGTTCTTTCCTCCAGGCAAGAGGCCTTGCTCACAGCCTCTGGCCATGACTCATCTTTCCATGTGCCGTTCTTGCCACAACTGATGCTTTTCCTCCCTCCATTTTTGGCAGAAAAGTATCTCAGTCTAAGAAACAGGACTTTAATTTCAAGGCTGCCAAGCTCACACTACTGATCACAGTGGTCATGCCATGGAAAAGGCAGTGCTGAGACAGAGCTGGTCAAGAACCGACTAGACTGAGAGTGCACTGAGGAAGAGGTCTGTGTAAATTAGAGGACACGGATACTGGCGTCCAGAGTCTGGGATGCAGCGTAGCAATAGCATTGGCCTCGTTCAGTAGAACTGAGTTCTGATCTGTGGTCAGAGGCTCTGCTCTTCTTGTCCTAGTTTCTTTTTCTTGCTCTAAGCACAAGGCCCTAGGTCAGAAGTCTGTTGGAAGATTCCAGATGAAACCTACTCCTGATTAAGGGTAAGGCTGAAATGCCCAGATTTCCTCATAAATCCCAGCTTCACATACGCACACACGCACACACACACACTTATTTCTTTCTTCTTAGGGCCAATAGAAATGCCAAGTTGGTATAAAGAAGCGCTGAGAATAGCCCAGCTGGCTTTGAAAACGGGACAAAGAGGGAGGCTGACTGTGTACAAGGGGAACTCGGATGAAGCCCGCCCTAGACATCAGACTTAGCTCTAGTGGCTGTCTGGTCCTCACTTGGGAACACTTCCCAAGTAGCCTTCGACTTTATTCTTAACTAAACCAAGGCCACAAGTATATTGAACTAATTTTATTCACCTGTTTAAAAAATGGATTACTTCTAGTAATTTTGTATCATCTGTAACTTCATACCCTTTTCTAAAATGAGAGCTTGCACTTGGGTTTGCATTTAAGACCCATAGGTTAACCACTGTAAATCGAGAGAGTGAGTAACTTGTTCTCTGCTGTGTTTTTATAACTGTTGTGGCAGTTTTAAAAGGAGAGGACAATAAACTTCTTAAAAACAGACTTCCTTAGGTTTCAGAGTTCATTCAGGAAGCCCGTTTCTTAGCATTTAGAAAGAAACTTTTAGCAAATCTGTGACCTTCAACCTTTCTTTGCTTCAACTCTTTTCCACCTCTGCCTATTTCTGGGGAATGTTTCATTCTGTCTTTGGCCTTTCTACCATCACTTTATTACATTTCAACTTATCACAATCAAAGAACCGTTAATTATCACGGCTCCTAACCAGTTAGTATATCAATAAGATATTTCTAACTTTCAAAGTTTCATTTTTCTATACATATATACCAATACACATTGTCAAAGGGGAGTTTGTCTTCTGAGCCCGTCTCATTTCTGCCCCATCTCTAGAGATGAACAGATCATACTCTTAAAGCGGCCCCGCCTCAGCAGCCTGTGGGCCGCGCTAGCTGGGGGGGTGCGGGAGGGGGAATGAGAGCCCTGGCCGGTTACGGCGCCGGAGAAGGAGAGGTGAAGTCATTCAGCACGGCATCCATAACCCGTTACGGATCTGAATGAATAGTCAATAGGACCTTTCATCACAACCAGAAGTAGTAGTAAAATCACTTTTTTGGTAGAGGAAATGACAGAATTTAGCAATATTTGTTACTTCAGTATTTGGGATCAGTCCAGCCCAAGTTTGAAAGCACAGGCTTAGAAAGACAGGCCTTCAAGCAGAAACCCTCCAGTGTTGTTTGAAGAGCTGAGAGGATTAGCAAGGCCTGCTCGCCCCCTTCCTGTCACTGCTGTCTGAAGGTGTGCGCGCTGGCTTGGTGTTGAAGGTGAAGAAAGCAAAATGGCTTGTTTTTAGCACCACTTACTAATATTTTTCCAGTGTCAGCCCCTTTGTCTGGAATAGCACTCTTTGTCGGTTAGCATTCAGCGCTATGAGAATGAGCCTGGCAAAATTCAGGCGCAGTGTAATTAATATTGACTTAAAAAACCAGGTCCTGCCATAATTGTCAGTAAGTTTATAAGTATATTAGAATTTGTGTATAGCACAGTAGTTTGCTTTTAGTTCTCAAAGCATAAAAAGTAGTAAAACAAAAAAATTACAATACTTTTACCTGACATTTATGGAGAGCTTTATAGTTTGTAACATACAAACGTATATATTCATGTAACCCTCATCATCACCCTATGGAGTGAAAAGAGCAGCTACTATTAAATGAATTTAAAGACACAATGGCTTTTGACATCTGTCACTTCAGCGCAGCATCACATAATCCGACAGGCTTACTTCCATATATTTTACTGTCTTTTACATTTCCATCCTAAGCATGCACAGAATCAAAGTAGGTGACATTCCCAAATAGAAAAGGAACTGAATGTTCATTTTGCACATTATGATATTTCTATGAGTAATCGCAATGCCTGAAACACTATAAATTCTCCAAAGATGTATTAAATGAATGTATTTGATACAGCACCATCATACAACTAAGAAACTGAGCTTCAGAAAAGTTGTGACTTTCTTTAAATTGGTGAATTAGTTGATTCAACAAATATTTGTTGAGCACCTACTGTGTGCTATATACAGGGTGTGGCAAAAGTAGGTTTACAGTTGTGAGTATGTGAAAGAGTTTATTTTTGTATTATTATTTATTACTTATTGTCTTATTTTCCATAGGAACAATGATAAACCTACTTTTGCCCCACCCCGTGTATGCTGAGTTAGGTCCTCGCAGCTAGAACAGCGAATAAGACACATGGAATCTGTCCCTCATAAACAAGGGGGCCCAGAAGGACCAGTATTACACAATTCCACTTTTTTCAATTACCTAGACTAGGCACATTCTTAGAGCTGGGAAGTGGATTAGAGGTTACTAAAGGCTGGGGAAAGGGGAAATGGGGGAGTTATTAATTAATGCTCATAATTTCTATTTGGGATGATTAAAAAATTCTGAAAATAGTGGTGATGGTTGCACAACATGGTGAATTAATGCCACTGAATTATACACTTAAAAATGGTTAAAATGACAAATTTTGTGTTATATATTTTACCACAATTAAAAAATAGTAAACCAAAAACCATTGAATTATACACTTGGAATGAGTGAATTGTATGGTATATGATTATATCTCAGTAAAGCTGTTTAAAAAACGCACACGTCCCTGCCTCATTAAACTTGTAATCTAATGGAAAGAGATAGACAATAAACAAAATAATTTTAGGTAGTGATAAGTGCTGTGATAGAAATTAATTAGGTGATATAATAGTAAATAACTAGTGAGGGACCTACTGTAGATAAAGTTGTCAAATAAACCTTATTGAAGAAGTGATATTGAGCTAAGACATGGAGATGACAAGGAAGCAGCTGTGTAAAGAGCTAGGAAACAGTAGGTTCCTTATGGGCATGAAAACAATGCAAAGGCCCTGAGGTAGGAAAGAACTTGTTGTATTTAAGTAACTGGCTAATGTGGTAGGAGCATAGTAATTAAAGGGAGAGGTAGCCAGGGAGTATATCATATAAGGCCTTAGAGATTATAGTAGAGAGTTTGAATCTATTCTAAATATGAAGGGAAGCCAATGAATAATTTCAGCAGGAAAGTGGCAGGATTTGATTTATTTTTTTAAAGATCACTCTGGCTGCTCTAATGGATTAGAGAGGACTAGAGTGGAAGCAGGGTTGCCATTTAGAAGACTATTTCAGAAGATCTGAAGAGGGCTGATAGTTGCTTGGACTGGGATAGTAGGGATAGAGATGGAGGGAAGTGAACAGATTTAAAGTATATTGTGGGTGCTACGTAAGCATTACTAATTTTCAGGGAAATGCTAATCAAAATGACAATAAGATATCACTTTACACCTATTAGAATAGCTATTGTAAACAAACAAGAAATTACAAGTGTTGGCGAAGATGTGGAGAAAAGGAACCCTTGTACAC